TTTTGAATTAGATTTTCTCAGTCTAGCTATATAACAGAGGATGTCTGTGGATTCCTTATCCTCCTGCCCCCACCTCCCAAGTGCTGGGGCTACAGGCACACACACCCCATGCCTAGCATTCTGTTGTTAACTAAGAAACAAAAATTGGGATCTCAGTAAACAGTTTGTAGATGCATGGCCATTCCCACCTCCTATTTTTGAAATTCATGCCTGGCTTAGTCAACTTGAGGACATGGTGTTAGAAACAGATTATTTTTATCTGAAAATGATTTCCCGATCGAAGATCAAGACTAAACTGAGAGTAAAGTACTGCTCTTCCCTTTTCCTTGATTCTTACTCATGCTCTTAGCACATCTTTTAAAAAGAGATCTACTGGTAGCCAAGCAAGGCTCCTCTCATTTTTAAAATCCTAAATCAATATTGATAATTTTTACTATACTCATGTCATTTTAATAGACTTCACATGTGGCTGTCTTAAATATATGCTGGCAAAATGGAAACATGAGATAGTCGTTTGCCATCCAAAATATGCACCACAGGATGATGAGGGGTTAAGACGTAAAACGGTTCTGTGGTTAAATGCTATAGAAATCCAGTGATATGCATTAAGGCATGTGGCCTTTCTTCAGATTTCTCAAAGTCTTTAATACACTTACGTGCATGGTGAGTCTCCAAAGGGCATAGGGCATCATTGAGCTTCTCAAAATTATTTAAGTAGGGAATCTTTTCATTAGGGAAATGCTGCCACACTTGCCTGCCAGTGGTCACAATGACATCTTTGGTACTCTTCACCATTATACCACCACATAGCACCACTTATTAGGCTATGGTCCCACAGGTGATAGCTAGTGCCATACATACTTGGTGATAGTCTCGTATTTAGAAATACATACTGGGGGTGTGGGGTGCAGCTATGTCTGTACAAGGACCTATTGATTCCCTTCCACCTCTAATTACTATTATTGCAACTGCTTTCACTGGGTTTATCTGCTAAATAGATTAGGAACACTCTGAGACATCACTGTTTTCAGAAAAATTGACAGTGATTCCCATCCCCCTCCCCAAAGTAACAATTCATAAAATCTCAAGTCAAGGCAGTATTTCAATGTGGTTAGTATCCTCCAGTTCCTTAACACTTAATTTTTTAAGATCATTGAAATGTTGTGAGTGTTGTATCCACAATGTGTGTGTGTGTGTGTGTGTGCAATAAGCAGCTTCAACTTTATAGACAGGATAAACTGTAACTTGATGGGAATGGAGGTGGGACAGATGCATGTGAAGACTGTGGGGCAGGTGTGTATCCAGGTGTGACTTGTGTAGCTGTCCATGGGTAATCACAGCTCCCAAGGGTAGGAGTATAATCCTGGACTTTGATTAGCTCAAACTGAGTCAGACTATAGTAGAATGATTAATTCTTCCCAACAGCATAGAAGAGTCATTTTATTTTATCTAAATTAAAGAAAAAAATATTTAAAAATTGATTTGCAGATTAGAAAATCAATATTTTAGCATTTCTGAAAAATGGTCTTAACAGAGTAATATCAGGAACTAATTGTAATTATACCCCATAGTAACTTGTCCCATTTAATTACTATGATGGATAATTCCATGTGTCGATGTGGTTGGGCTAAGGGATGGCCACAAAGCTGATAAAATATGATTTCTGGATATCTGTGTGGATGCTTCTGGAAGACCTTAGCATTTGAACTGGTAGACTGAAAGACTTCACCTCCACACATGTGGGCAAGGCCTATCCAGTCCACTGAGCACCGGAAGAGAATGTAAGAGTATAAACTGGGTCTTTCAGCTTGAATTGGGAAGTTCATCCTCTGTTGCCTCTGGTTACCAAGCTTCTACTTCTCTGGTCATTCTCCAAATGGGACTTACACTCCTGGCCTCCTTGGCTCTTGGGCCTTTGGGTGTGAACTGGAATCACCCCATGGGGCCTCCAGTTTGCAGAGGGAACATGGTAGGATTTCTTAGCCCATGTAATCATGTGAACTGATCTTTCAAAATATTTTTTTTCTACAATCTCTCTTTTATAAGCTTTTGGCTTTGTTTCGTGGAGAACCCTGACAAAAATAATTAGAAATTCAGTATTTATGACTTCCGGACCAAGAACAGAGTGAGGCTAAGGGCAAACTGTCCATTTATTTCTCAAATTGCCTAAATACAAAATTCAAAAGGACCAGCAATAATCTGTGAAAGAATATCTGAAACCAAGAACAGGAAACGGAGCGTAAATATTCTAAAACGTCACACTGTGAAGGCTTCCCAGGTGAGATGGAGTGCCGGTTTAAAAGCCTATGTAAAGTGCAAAGAAATCCCACATCTCTAAACAAGTGCTTGGAATGCTGGGGGCCAGCCGCATCATATGCACCCCACTCACTGGAGCAGTGAAGGGACCTTACGTATTCTTCTACCTAAAAAGTTTTAATTGGGTTTGAGTTTAGAATAATCCCTTCATTGCATTATGCCATCGAGATTCTTTCTCTTTTCTAATTTTATCTTCACTCCTGAGGTTTTCTCAAGAACATGCAATATTTTCCTGTCCTTAACCCCACTGAAATTGTATCATTAGCCTGGGTTGGGGGGAACTTAATATACACTAATTTTTACAGAGTCTTAAAAAAATGTAAGGATATTTTTCAATAAGGTACAAAGTGAAAATGTGTGATCTAATGCGCCCAAGTCGGCAAGTACAGAACCTGTCATAAGCATGACTTTTAAAAGAACAATAAAGAGATAAATCAAAAAAACATGACAAGGGCCTGTGGGCTACTTCCTTTCCATTCCAATCCAGTCCACTGAGGTGATAGACCCCATGCCCAAGGAAGTGGATACACTGGTATCTGGACCTAAGTCCTCTACTTCAGATACCTGAAAGTTTACACAGTGAAATAATGACCCTAATTCATTGTGTTCTATGTACCTATAACTCCTGTGATGCTTTATCTCAGTGAGATGTTCTTTTCTCCCTTCCTAGTCTTGCCATTTTCTATGACCAATAGAATTTGGCCAAACACTCTACACATCTGCCTTTGAACAAGACCAGATTGGCTTGCTAGTGGCTGGGAAAATGTAGCTGAGTTTCCATGATCATCCTAGTTCAGTCATCTCTCATCAGTCAACAAGTGGCCTAGACCTGGGAGCAAGCATCAGCACAAACCTCAGGTAATCCGAGGCTCGAGTCCTTCCTGTGAGCTGAGTCCCACATTCCAGAAGCTAAACCAATGTTGATTAGTGAGACTTTACAGCTGCCGTGTAGCCTTACCATGTGACAGAAAACTGATACCAAGGGTATTGGCCACACTGGAATTGCAGACACCCAGCCTCCAGAGCAAGCCCATTGAGTTACCACAGGCTGACACTATGTCAACTAAGTTTTGGATCCTGTGTGCAGCCTTGAGCAGTGGGGTTAGTGGTATTTTAGTGTATCTTCACTAAGCTCTAAACTAATGTACTAGGAAAGGAACCTGGAATTGCTTAAATAGTGCTTGTGTTGAGGGAAGATACCCAAGAGCAACTATGTTCTTTAAAATACAGAGAATGTCAATGCCATGTGACCAGCTGAAGGCTTGGGATGAGAAGAAAACTCTTATTTATTCCCACCTCCCTTTTCAACTACCAGCTCAGTAAGTTGCTGGGAAATCCTTAGTGATTAGTGTAATGTGAATAATACTTCATGGTAGACAAGATGTCTAAACGTTAGTTCATCAGATTGTTTCAGGGTTTTTTTTTTGTTTTGTCTTTTTTTGGGGGGGTCTTTTTGAGACAGGGTCTCCCTGTAGCCCCAGCTGTCCTGGAACTATGTAGACCAGGCTGGCCTTGAATTCACAGAGATCTGCCTGCTTCTGCCTCCTGAGTGCTGGGATTAAAGGCGTGCGCTACCATATAAAAGACTATTATTTGGGGGAATTTTTCTTTCTTGGAGAGCTTTTAACTTTAGAATTAAGTAACATGATTCTTGACACTGTTTCCCACTGGAGGACTTCCGAAATTGATTAACCCTTATACCAGGGTGGTTAAAATCAAGTGCACAGATAAGCAAATGATTTTAGAGCCCAACAATAAAAGTGAATTTAAGAGTGTAACCAGCTAAATGCCAGCAACACTGAGTTTTAACAACGAAGGCCTGACAGGTTTTATGGGTATACTAGTAACATTCGTTCTCTTTTACCAATAAACTGGATCTGCACAGGAAATTGAGAATTAGATGATCGTATACATGTGTCCGAGAAGAGGCAGATGGGTGGAAGGAGATTGGATTAGTGCATATGAGAGACATTACCAGAAAATATGTAGGATATAAGGATACAGGCTCTCTACAGTTTATTTTCATCACTATACATTCAGAGGTCAGAGTTTATCACTGAACACAGCTGAAGATCAAAGTCATTTTGTGTTAAAATTACTTTTATTTGGGATGAAAAACACAATGTGTAACCAGATTAGATGACAGTCTATGATTACTTCTTTACTGCATATTTCAAAAGTACAACATATTTATTTCCCATTGTTACTGCAATATATTTCCTCTTATTATGCAGAAGATTACAATGTAGTGTTTTATGTAGCTTTTTCTGTAAGAGCAGATAGAGAACATTCTGCATACAAATACAGGCAGAACTAAAATGAATACATGACTTCTCAAAGTAAGAACAAGGAAGACAACAAATCTACAATTTGGGAGTTCTGAATTCGGGGAGTCTTCTGTTGCTATGGTTTAAACAGGCGCTTTCTTCGGTATGAAATGGACTGATGAAAGCCCTAGGCTTTGCAGATTAGGCGCGTAAAGCTATGTCCAACACGATGGTGGAAGATGGTTCTGAGGTAGAAAGGTGATCATGGCTTTCCTCTTATATAAAACAATTTTCTTCTTTTCAAAATATCTATGCTGCAAATAGTCACCCTTGCCCCCCAACCCACCCAGCCTATCCTAAAAATAGCAATTTCTGACTTTAAGCCTCCTTCAGGCCAGATCCCAGTAAAAGAGAACCCAAAGTTAAAATGTCCTGATGTTTTAAAAGCACATATGTTTGAATCAAAACATATTACCTTTACCTTGATTTTTGGTTTCTCTACAGTTGGTAATTAATTTAAGGTTAAATAAAAAAAAAAAGAAACAAATACCCAATTGAATGCACTCAAAAGTAGAGGCAGGGGTACAATCATTTAAGCATTAATTTCATTCATCTGTAGAAGCAGTGACATTGGCTTTTGATTGACATCCCTCCTAAATGTGCTGATCATGAGCCATCTGTCCATTTACCCAAATGATAAAATGAGACGTGCACTAAATTTATGTCTACTTTTGGAAAGAAAAAGACTAGGAGTTTCAAGAATTACAAAGGACTTGAAATAAAAAACAAAATTATTTTCAAAGGGAGCTAAAGACCATGATGTGTTTTGGTCTCACAATGGGTAAAAATCTGCTGTGTCTCATGTTCAAAACCAAGACTGAAGGGGGAGGGAAGGTTGTACCAAGTTTTATTTCTGCATCAAAATGAAAGTATGCTTAAACGGGCAACCTTTGGTAAAATGATCTTTGAAATGATTACAATGCAGTCTTCTCTATTATCATATAGACTGCAAGATGAAATAAATAAACCAAGATCTACTTACAAGAAAAGAATAAAGGGCAGAAAAAAGAAATCCCAGTAGACTTGCCATTTAGGTCCATAGGATTTTTGTGGCTCATCCAGTGGTCACTGTGGAAGTGAGTGTATGTGATGCCAAATAAAGTTAAATAGTATATTCAGAGTTGCTGTCTAATCCATATATATAAAATATTTTATTCAAATATATGAACTTATTAATTTGGCCAAATCATGGAAACAAATACACAGAATGTATTTGGTCACGTGACTGAATTATAAATAACCAAAATATAATGGTAAAATAGTCAAATAATAAATGATGTTATCATACAAGGTTAATATGAACAGCAGAAGGAATGTAAAAATGTAAAGTGGTCTGATTCTTATGCAATTTTTCTCACGGTTATTAAAAAGACAGTTTCATATTAGAAAGCCCCCACCCACTTCCCAACGCTGTGTACATTATACAAATCAGTGGCAAACGTATTACCATCTCTAAACACCTTTCTGTTCATTAATTTACAGTTGCATAGAAAGGGGAGAAAAAAGCAATAATATATGGTTATTATAAAAAAAAATATCCTTTTCTCTTTGGATAGTCAGTGTTTTACTCCCTCAGTGGAACACACAGTCGGCTTCCTCAGCATGTCGTGGAGCCATGGAGCTTTGGGTGGAATGGGATTTGGAATTGGCATTTGCAGAAGAGGGCAATACTGAAGGTCAGGAAATATTGGTTGGCTGGATGAATGCTTCACATGGCCTGTGGGAAGAGAAAACAGCAAGGTCAGAATAACATTTGCATAAGGCCCTCCAGACAGCAAAGGCCTGTCAATTCTTTAAGGAAAATTAAGGGCTTCTTTCAAAACTAGCTACACTTTATTCAGCTGTGTTCAAGGATCCCCAATGCCCATGTGACCCTGACGTCACCTGGTTGCTTTTCATTACAGTAGCCAACACTAACATAGAAGGGAACTCTAGATGGCTTATTTCTTACCCAGGCTGGAAACCAAGTTAAAATTGAGAGGACTTGGCTTCTTCCTATGGAAGGTACCAATGGTGTGTGTGTGTGTCGGAGGGCTGGGTAGTGGCTACTGTGGGCATCCCGTCCCTCCCAGGGGATCAAGAGAGGGATACCTTGACAATGCCAACTTCTGTCCCACTCTGGACAGGGATTGTCATACAAGGGTGTGCAGAGGTGCTTATTAAATTTAAAATGCCCCAGGCAAGAGGCTCTAATTCCAGGCCACACTCAAGGAAGTGGTACCACCATTTCCACAGGAGAAAGAGCAAGCGGTTAGTCTTTTGAAAGTATTCTTAAGTTAGAAATCCTTTTAAAAAATTACTCTGAAATGGAGTCATCCAAAGGAAGCTTCTGCTGTTCATATTATCCTTGTATGATAACATCACTTATTTGACATTTACATGGAGAATGAACTAGGATAGATCAACAGCTGAGATCAAAACCATTGGGTCAATCAAGCCATAACTCTTACCTGTGGCCTGCTGGGGACATTTGCTGAAAAAGAAAACAGAAGAAATCAACTGAGGGCTTTAGTGCTGCTTTGTTTGCATGCAAGTGTGTGGAAGTCCGTGATAATAGTTCTACTGTCCCACGGATGGTAACAGGAAAATAGGGGGTAGGCTCCCACTCTTTGGCTAAATGCTTTAACCAAGGCTAGTTTTCCCGGTTAGTTTCTCATATTCCATGTGATTTAAAGTACAAACATTCCACCCAAAATATATTCTAGCTCTTTAAAATATGCACGAAAGCTTTCAGGGAGCTCTTAGCTTTAAACAAAACAAAACACTCAAAACTTTAGTTTGTCTTGAGGTGCCCAGCCCTAAGTGACACATCTACAATGCAACTTCCACACTAAACTTCAGGGAGCATAGTGGAACAGGGAAGGGGAGTATGTGTGAAAAAAATTAATGCATCTCTGAACTCTCATTGGCGAAGTTTCCTCATGCAACAGATGATTAATCCAGAAAGCCGCAACTGCCCAAAGTACAGAGAAAGAGACTGCAGAGTGCCTGTCCCTGGGTAGGACGCCGATATTAAACCTCTGTCACCCAGGGTTCAGGGACCATTGCAGCAAACAGACTGTAAGAGCCAGAGGAGGTAGATGACCACAAGGAACCAGTTTTCCAGACAGCGGGGACTGTTGAACTCATATGAACTCACAGCAATGGTGACAGCATGATAAGACCCAAGCAAGCTCAAGCCACACAAAATCACAGCATAGAAGTGGAGAAGTGGTTAAGAAGCTCAACCTTAGCTACTGGCAACCAATACATGCTGAAAAAGAGAGAGTCATTTTCCTTTAAGTGTGTGATGCTAGATTCGTTAATCAGGTTCTCGTGGTTGGACACACACTGAAGGACATCTGAGGACACAAACTTGACTAGATAGGCCTTAACATATATAACAGAGTATGAAATCCCATGGGGAGGGGGCTATAAAAGGGGTACAGATAGGGGAGGCAAGCATTCAATTTAAAAAAATGTATTCTTAAATTGTGCCTGTATTTGGTTTCTGTATCAGAACAAAGAATATTCTATAGTCTTGTGTTGAATGATACAAATTCTGACCAAAGGGTCCTTGGGGGCAGTTAGCTTTTCTTTTCTGCCAATCTTGGTTCACTTGTGCCTGGAAGCTGAGGGAAGATGGTGGTTGTGTGCTTGCATCAAAGAAAGGACTAGCCTGTTCTCCCACAGCCTTCTGGATAGGCTAACAGTAATGCCTTGAATTAACAGCACAGATGTTAGACTAGGGTGTCTAATTCACCTTCAGTTTCTTCCTTTGTAAAAGAGCCCAAGAGAGAAGCTGATCTGGTGGGCTTTGTGAGGGCCATGTCTGCTGAATACCGTCTTCCAGCTCTCTGCTTTGTCACCACCCCCTTTTCAGTGAGAATACCCTCAGCTCCCTGGTTCTTGTGATCTCCATAAAAAGTCAGAAAAGACACACAGACTATAGTATATAAGAGTTTATTACAGAATATAGCACCCTCTAAGGAGCAGATAGTGGGCAAAAAGAAACCTGTCCAGATCTATATTTTAGGCAGCCCTTATACTATTTTCTAAATTCTCTAAAGGAACTTTGGGCTATACAAGCCTGCTTAGATGGCCTCTTACAGGAGGGAGAAGTGGCAAGTCTTTGTTCTTTACCAGAATACCTACACAGTAATCTTAGAAGGTTTTTGATTCTTGGAGCCTTCCTGACAGTTCAAGATGTCAATCCCCTCTATGCCAGAGATATGACTTGAGGCCCATTTTCCCACCAGTAACTAAAGCCCTGATGTTTTAATCCTTTGTTTTACAGGCTGTTGATTCTACCCTTTAAACTTGAGATTCTCTAACTAGCTATCTAGTGCTTTCACTGAGCAGTCAAATGCATCATGGGAAAAGAAGGGAAGAGCTTTGCTTTCTAGTGGTGGCAACATCTGCTCTGGGCCAAAGGAGAAGTGTCACTAGTCATCTAGTATGTTGCACACCTTCCATCTCTTACTTTTCAATGCTGAGGAAGAAAAAAGGACATCAATGATCTATGCTGGGTGTTCGCGAGAAAAAAGAGAAAGCGAGAGGGCTGTCCTCCCTGTGATGCCAGGAGGGAACATGTGAGCCCAGGGTTTGGGAGAAGAATCAGACAAAAGCAAACCTGGTCCCACAAAGTATGTGGGTCCCAGAGAAGGGTGAACCTCTGTAAGTATGTGAGTTACACCTCAGGGTAATGGAGTTGAATCTTTAGTAAGTACACGTTACATATACATACTCTATCGAAAAGGTCCAAAATTATGTTTCTCTTTGTAAGTAAAAAAATACAAAATAGTCAAATCCTAGACAGAAGTCTAATCCACTTTGCTATGCTACCTTTTATAAAAATCAAAAGGCTATAGGCAATCCCCTGGACAAATCTTACTTGTTAAGAAAATTAGGAAATCATTGCATTTTAGTAGGTTTTGAGTTTTTCATGCATGTCATTCAAGCTTAACACACATACGCAGTTCATGTTGGAAACATGCTGGTAGGTTAACAGTAATTTTTAAAAGCATTGGTTCTATCACCCCAAATTACTCAACTTACTGCTGGTCCACTAAAACAACAAAAATGAAAATAAAAGTGGATTACATTAACAAAGAAATAGTTATAGTAGTAACTGGAACTCTCACTACATGATTGGTTAATAGCACAAATTAAACTCGAGTCATTAATTCTTAGCCAAGAGGAAATGACAACACCTGCCTCTCTGCTCTGAAATGCAATATCATTTTCAAAGGCCATAATTCAAAGATGACATTAGGACCGACTGCAATATTAATTCAAGATGCAGGAATTCTAAAGTCTTACATGCAACACTATATAGACACAGTTTTTAAAAAATGTCATGCTAAAGTAAGCAATTCATGCCATTGGGATTTATGAATACAGACTTTCATTTAATTCCAAAATTGCCAGGAGTGGAAATTCATTTGTAGCCATGCAAATTTTTAATTCACAAAGGATCAGAAGTCAAGATTAACATGCAGATCAATTCTCCACATGCTGGTGACAAGCAATTTGAAAGTTCTTGTTAGTTACGGGGTTCAGGGGATTGGCTTGGCATTGTGAGGGTGCCAATCCTATTTATTTAGGTAAACCTCAAAAGGTGGTCAGTAAACTTTTGGAATTGTGAAGCCTTAATAAAATATTTGCTAACTGAGCAATTTAGAAGGAGCACTAAATAAACGAGTCCTGCAAAACCTTCTTAGGGCTAGCTGGGAAAACTTCCACCTCAAACCTTTCCAGCTTGAAAATGGTAACATCTGAGCAACTACTGATCCCTTTAGTTCAGGAACACAATGAGGCACCAAGTCTAACCATGCATTGACAGAGGCTGTACCATCTAAATTATTTAATAACCTCAGGCAGAATTCTGAAATATGCATCAATTTGTAAATGAGACAATGAAGCTCAATAAAAAAAAAAAAAGAAAGCAGTCCCCACCTTGGAGATTTGTATGTTATCCAAAGAAAAATATGGATATAAATATCAAGAAGAAGCCAGGTGTGGTAGTGCATGCCTTTAATCCCAGCAGAGGCAGGAGGATCTCCGTGAGCTCAAGGCCAGCTGGGGCTACAGGGGAGACACTGTCTCGAAAAAGGCCAAAAAAAAAAGGAAAAAGAAAAAAAAAAGTCAAGAAGAACAAAAACCACAATTATTGGGACTTAAAAATTAGCATGTAAATTTCACAGGATTTTAAAATATACCATTCACCATTTTGTTACATGAGGTATTTGAATTCCTCACAATAACACATGCTGAAGAATGCTCATCCACAGAGAACAATAAACATAAATATCTGTGGAATTACAAAGTTAAGAAAAATAGCAAGTCGGCTTCCCCTTAAAGAATCTCAAGCCTCCATAAGTCAGCCTCTGGGTATGGAGGATGGCACAGGTGAAGGGCACCCAGTGCAAAGGAGGAGCTTAGCCCCTGACTGGTGGCTCTCAGGAATGAATCACCATGAACAGCTAGCCACGCTGCCAAACGACAGGGATTTTACATGTGCCTTTTCGGGACAGAAAGTGAGGTGAAGATTCTGAGAATTCGTTGTTCCTCTACAGCTACAATTTTTTATTTTTCACTCTATTCTATTTTAGATTTTTACTTTTATTTTTCACTCTATTTTAGATTAACATTTTTAAACAAAATATACTTATCAGAATATGCCTTGAGAAAGAAGTGCTTTAGCAAAAGAAATGTAAAAAAAGCACAAAATTTTCAATATGGAAATTATGCATTTTATATTCATTACAAAGCATATATTTAAACATATTTCCAAGTCTGACTTTACTGACTGCCAGCTTTTTTCTAAACTGAAAAGGTCCAGTGTGACATTTAATTGAAAATTTCTAAACAGAATTAGATTTACAAAATTTGTTTTTTAATTATGAATGCACTTAGGTGGAGGCTGAGCTGAAAAGTAACAGCTTTTAGAAATTTAATTTTGAAAGACTAATTCATAAAGCATGAGGTTTTTATTCTAGTGATTAAGTAATATATGCCAGAACAAAAACCTCACAAATTAAAATTCAACCTTGAACTATAATTGATATAACAGATTTAATATGTTAATCTATTATAGTGGTTTCACTAGAGAAAAAACCACATTACAGCATGCAGACACTGACTCTCTTAAGCTATTAATGGCACTGGAGAGTTGTGTGTGTATACATGTTTATACAGGCATAGGCACACATGTGCTTTTTGGGAAACAAATGTGGGAGATGACATACAGTAAGTCTGATTCTACAAACTTTGAGAAGCAGAAAACAATAGAATTTCAAATAAAAACTCAGGAACTAACATACAAATGTGTTTATGTGTGTGTAGAAATTAATATACCTTTTGGGTTAATATTCCTGAAAATTCGGAGAAAAATAGATTTTACATAGTTTGCATATCTTGCCAATAACAGTATTTTATGTAAAATAAGGAAACTATTTAATGAAGTAGTACACCTTATTTAGCTATAGTACCGGTAACTGAGATCTTTCTCTCACTTAGGATGACATTTAAGAAAATGACAGAAAGCGTGAAATAAAGGGCTGAGATTTATACAAGATCTTAGTTTATTGACTGGTTAGCTTTAATACCAATTTGAGAGGCTATCATCCCCAAGTTATAAATGACACACTCCATGCTCTTTGAAAGTGTTTAAAACTGTGACCGTAAATTCTGTGTACCCAAGTAGACTGCTGCTGAGTGGGGAGACCGTCCACTGAGGTGGGAGCTCAGCAGAAACTATAGGATGGCAACATGCCAAGGAGAAATCACTTGGAAAAAAATTTTCAATCGATCAGAATCATTATGTAATTTCCCCTGGGATTTGGACTGCTGTTGCTGGGTGATTTTCTGGCTCTTGGCTGTTCATATGGAAAATTCAGAGTCATAATTTGTGATGCTGTGAATCATTTAGCTTTTGCACAATGATTATTTTATTCCATGAAAAAAAAAATCTCAGCCAAAGGGGAGGGGAAACCCGAACATAATACTTCTCTGTACCAGAATCCTCTGAAATGTCTGAAGGAAAGAGAGGGAATTATCTTAGAAAGGCAGTTTCCGCACCTTATTCGGCACATACTAAGGGCTCTTCTTTGAAGTAATACAAGTTTCTTATACTTTAACGTTTCATCTAAAATCAAGATATGCCCCTACTGGCCTCCATTTTGTCACTCCTCAGGCCTATGGGAACATCTCCAAGAGTGGGGTCATACTGCCACTGCACAGGGGATCTGATGGGACCTGAGTGGAGCTTTGTTTTCTTTGTCTGGTATCCATTTGCCTTATTTTCAAACATGCATTTTTGTTTCTAATACTGGCTTTTGGCATCTTACCAAATGTCATAGTTTTAATCATCTTGACACACCTGGAAAGAGGGAACCTCAAGTGAGAAATTTCCTCCATCAGACTGGCCTCTGGTCATGTCTATAGGGCATTTTCTTAATTGCTAATTGATGTGGGAGGGCCCAACACACTCTGGTGGTGCCATCCCTGGGCAGGTGAGTCTGGACTATATAAGAAAGGTAGCTGAGCAAGCCAGAAAGCCACTTGGTCTCTCTCAGTCCCTGCTTTGAGCTCCTGCCCTGGCTTCCCCTGGTGATGAACTATAACCTGTAAGTCAAATGAACCCTTTCCTCCCTTAAGTTGCTTTTGGTCATGGTATTTATGACAGCAACTGAAAGAAAACTAGAAAAAAAACTGGTACTCAAAGTGGGGCATTACTGTGATGAGTCTGTGCTAAAGACAGGGCTGCATATGGAAAGAAAGCACAGGAAACAAGCACATGGCTGTGGCCTTACAACTTTCCTACTCACGGCAGCAAGATGGAAATGAACTGTTGATCTGCTCCATGACCTCCGTGAGGTCAGTGCTTGTGTCATGAGGTGGGGCCAGCAGGTCCTCAGCTGCTTCGACAGAACACAGAATGCAGTGCCTGAATTAAGATCCAACATACTACAAAAGAGCCTCTTTCAGATAAAAATACTACAACCGGCTCCCCAAATATCAATGGGACATGAATTCTCATGGAGGAAAATACAAAAACATCTTTGTATTCGTTTGCTATGAGTACACACACACACACACACACACACACACACACACACAGCATGAAGGAACATCTAGGCATTGTACCCAGGTCCTTATGTAGGCTAGGGAAGCATCCTACTCCTCAGGTACATCCTCAGCACCAATAATATACTTTGATACAGTTAAAATGTATTATATGCTTGTAGAAAAAATTTAGGTACTGAGGGAAAATATAAAACTGAAAAATAAGTAACAGTGATTTGATATGTCTTAATTGAAAAATCCATTATTCTGTACCTAAAAATATTCTTCCTTGGGTGAGTGAAACGTCACCCAAGGCTCAGGGACCATCACAGAACAGGGGGGTGGAAAGATTGTAAGAACCAGGGAGGAGGTGCATGACCATAAGGAAACAGTCCTACAAGCTTCTGGGACCCTGCTCATATAAGTCTATGGCAGTGGTGTCAGCCTACATAAGTCCCATGCAAACTCAGGCAGACAAAAACCCAGCATGGAACTGGGAAAATGAACAGCAGACCCCAATCTTATCTGAAGAAATACTGGCAACTGATTGCTGCTGGGTGAAGAAGAGCGGATCTTCCTAAAACAAGGGACTCTAGATAGGCTAACTAGACTTCAGTGGATGGACTTGCACTGGGGAATGTCTGGGGATACTGACTTTACACAGTGGGCCTTAACAGGGATGACCAAGTATATGGGTTCCAGTGGAGGGAGGGGCTATGAGAGGGTGCTGGTGGGGACCAGGATATAAAGATGATTAAGATTGAGATGTTCTGTATAAAATATGTTCTGTACAAAAATTCAATAAAAACAAACTTAAAAAATATTCTACCAATTTCTTTCTGGAGCTTTTAGTATTTGCTAGCTTATCCTGACACAAAAGTAAATATATGTATATAAATATAGTACATATAAATATGTGTGTTCTATAATATTTTTGGTGTTGATGTGTTTTATTCTATGATCAAAATCAGTTAACACTGTAACTATCAGTGACAAATCCCCATTGTGATTGATGGTCTTGGTGGCACTTCTGCCTCAAAGGGTATAATGCAATATCCACAGAGACCAGGATGGATAAAACAGATAAATATGATCCCCGCCCTCAGCAGAGAAAACCATGTTTGGAATGATATCCTCAGCATTAGGTTCTTCACATGTATAATGCAGAAACTGTAGAGATATCATTTTAAAAGTTCATTCTTGGGGGCTGGAGAGACAGCTCCATGGGTAAAAATGCCTGCTGGATAAACATGAAGATCTGAGTTCAGATCCCAGTACACACCTAGAAAGCTGGCCATGGCCAAGCATAACTGTAAGCCCAGTGTTGAGGGGGCAGGGAGGTGGATCACTGGGGCTTACTGGTGACCAGCCTACCTCCAGGTTTGAAGAGAGACTGAGACCCTGTCTCAAAGCAGTAAGATGGAGAGTGATGGAGCAGTGCACTGATATCCTCCTCTGGCCTCTGGGAGCACAGTCACTTAGGCAGGCACCCCTGTACATATGCCACACAAACACACACCACACTCACAAGTCAGTCTCAAATCAAATAAAAATTAATTTCTTGCTCATTGCAAATTTTCATCTTTTACCAAATTTGAATCTACTACCCACTGTATACACAAGTATATTATAATAAAATCAATTTTTATATTAAAATGGATCTGTACTCATTTCAAATCAAAGAGAATGTTTTATGCTCTAAAGGACCCTGATATAAGAATCTTAACAAACTGGAAAATAGACAGTGGTCAAGCTCAAGGTAGACAGGAGCAGTGACTGTGATTCGGGGACACCCACCTGCTTGGTGGAACGGTGGACCTGGGTCCGGGTCAAGCGAGTAGCTTACTGCAGAATGCTGTGGTGAGGCCCAGGGGGAGACACCGTTGATGCGCGAATCGGATTCAGGCTGAAATCACGTAAGTTAGGGAAATGATTCAAGTAACCTTGGAGGAAACAGTTCCTTTTCACCCCTCACCGTGGGTAACTGGAGCACAACAAGTTCGTACCTTTGGGCAAATTCTGGTGCAGTTCAGCATCGGCTGGGCAGGAGCACTAGTTCTACTGAGTACCGAACACTCTTTCCCTATCATTGCCCTCTGAAGTATCCATGTGGTTATATTACAAGATTTACCTCTGTCATTCATCTATACATTTTGACATTATTTTCCTATCGAGGTAATGAATTTAGAAGTGGGCTGCATTCATCTTTCAAAAATTAGCACTGGAATTCTAAAGTAGTAAATCTATCAACTATCAAAAGTAGCGGACATTGAAAGGCAACACTGGGGACAGTGGTTAAGAGCATGGACTTGGATTCAGGTTCAAACTCCAGCGGTGCTGCCCAGAAGTGGTCCAATTCTAGGCAAACCACAGAACCTTTTGTCTAAAAGGTGCTGGTGCCGACAACTTAGTGCAGATCAGAATCAGTGCACAGGCTGTGCCGCATGCCTTTACTGAGCTCAGCTGCCACGGGATTTTGTGAGGAAAGTGATGAATGAATATTTCTAAAGTCATTTGCACAGTCTATCACAAAGCAAACCCTTCATGAGAGTTTCTGCACAGAGCTTTGAAATGGTGATGGGCATGCCAGTAAGTACATGGATGAATAAGAAAGTAGGGTCTCCTGCAGGGGAATGTAGAAGTTATCACTTTTATTGATGTAGATTTTCTATTAAGTCCACATTAGTTGAAGCCTGGTAGTTTTTCCGGTTTATACTATCTGAGCTAAATTTTCCATCTACTTCTGGCACTTCAGCTAAATCGTTAAGAGATAAGAGCTTCACAGTCTGGGATATTCCAAGCCACTTAGATATCAGTTATCGCAAAAGCATTACTGTGCAATTCTGAATGTACATGAGCCATTAGGTGCTCTGTCTAATGGCATGGAGGGGGAAAAGGGAGATTAGGCAATCCAAGAATCTTTTTTCACTGGAAGAGATTCAATCAGCTATGCAAGTGAAGGCTTCAGAAGCAATTCTGCAGTGGTTCCATGTCCACACTACATTGTTAACACTGCTACTTCATAGCCATAAGAAGAGATTACAAAGACGAACGTACCCCTGATTTGGGAACTATTTGAAAATGTCACACTCACTCCACAAGCAATGTAACTTTTCCAGTGTATGGGAACGGCATTGGGGTCAGGATCAAACAAACATTCTGAGGGCTTATAAGAAAGTCAGGTCTTAACTCAGGAAACTATTATTCTCTGAAGAAGCAAAATTTGCAGGCCCTGAAGTAAACTATTCACAAAGCTGTGTTAAACTCTACAATGACACAGAGAAAAGTACAGGGCCAAACTATGATCTATGGGTCACTATGGAAGTAATGCAAAAATTACAGTGTTTTGAATGATTCTGACGAGATAAAAAGATCCCAATGGCCACTTCGACAAGATGATTTTCAAAAAAGTGAGCGAATCAAATAAAACAAAAAATTGTTTTTGTTTTGATACAATAAATCATTTGTGCAGAAAGGCATCGGTTTTACGATGTCACGAGTCCCACACTGTCCAGGAGAACAAGGCGACAGTGACACTAACTGCAGTGCTAGGGATTCGGCAAGCCAAAGCAGGAATTCCTTTGCGGGGTGGGGGAGGCAGGGGGTGCTCTACTCTACATGCATTTTTTGGATGCACATAGTTGAGTGCATAGCACACTATTAGTTACATGACCTGACTCTACTCTTCAAGGCTAGGTTAATCAAGCAATTAATTCTTTCTGGTATGTTCTCTTTACATACAATATTATTTTGTTTTCTCTCACAAGACTGCTAAAAACAGAAAGTCAAAAACTGTACCGATAGCTTCTTTCATAAGCCAAAGAACGGAGCTTTGCAACACTGCAATTAGTCATTCACTGGTGAATCACACAATCAATTTACTAGGTTCTGATCAACTTTAGGAAAAGCAAGAGAAGAAAACAACGGAAGGAAGAAAAAGAAAGGAAGGAAAGAAGAAAGGAAGGAGGAAGGAAAAACAGGTGGAAAGGGAAGGAGAGAAAGAGAAAATAAGAGATGACATTTCTGTGTAAAGGCAAATATTAGTTTGTATTTGTCATACATATGTTTTCATTACAATGTAAATTCTATTTCCTTTTGTCAAAAAAGTTTGTAAGCAACTGCTATAAAACATGACCCAGTATGAGGAAATAATAGTGACAAATTAATAGCCATCTGTTACTCCTGTTACTAAATTTCATGCAAATAGTGATTTTTGGAATGTGTGCTCCTGACTCACTGGAAGAAGCTTAGAATGCAGATTTCAGGTCACCTGCTATTCCTGATCTCCATGGATGCTTCCCATATGCAATGTGGGTGAGTGTATATCACAGGATCTTTTTTTTTTTTAATCAAACTATCTCAAGCTGAGATTTCAGAGTAAATGAAGAATCAGAAATTGCACTGTCAACTGGGAAAGCACAATTTTTGTACTAGTGAAGATTTAATGCATACATGTGAAAAGGGACTTCTAACCCAGTGTAAACAGAATTAAGTATGGAGGTGAAAATTGAAGGTGGACTTCTTAGCTTCTCTGACGCCAGGCTCAGACCCAGGCCTCAGATAGGTACCATGGGGAGGTGCCCACAGCATTCTACACACCTACCTGTTCCAGCAGCTGTCGGAGGCGGTGCAGCTGAGATTCCAGCTGTTTATTATGATCTTCCAAAATCTGCATCCTTGCCTCCAGCCGCCCTTTGTGCTGCCGAAGGAGCTTTGCTTCCGCTATAAGCTCTGAGTCCTCGGATGTGTGATGAGGCGATACGATGGAGTCTGGAGGGGAGCCCACAGGGAGCCCCCTTCTCAGGTGCTGCTCCTTCAGTTGCTCATATTCTACCTGCAGATTTCTAATGCAGAAAAGGAAGAACAAACAAACAGACCAGAAATGCTAGCAGGTATAACCTCTGCTCTTCCAAACTGTCTACCAACCCCAATTCAGCTAATATTACTACTTTGTATTAAATGAAAACACATAAACAGGAAGAACAAGGAGAAGAAAAGCTGGGGCTTCAAGCAAGAGTGCTGTCAGGCCTCATCAATGAATCCCCAGGTGCTGCTGGACCCAGTCCTCACAGCACAGCCCGTTAATAGTCTCTAAAACCTTGGCTTCACTGCAATGTCATAGACCACAGTTCTGAAAGAGGATGGGAAAGGGCCTTGTTGGCCTTCTCATAAAGACACGGTGACATATTTACTTCTCTGGGGTCTAGCACACCTTTGTTCTTCCTCCAGGTCAGCAATAATCCGCTCCAGTTCTCCACGTTCTTCCCTTTCTACCGACTTCAGGATCTGCGCTGGACTCTGCGGCTGGCTCACGGGAGACTCCCCGCCCAGTGTCTGGCAGTACTGCTGGATGAGGGCATGCTCGTCCTCCCTGGTGAGACAAAAGATAGACAGAGGTTCAGGTCTGGGTGGTGAGGTCTCTGGATACACACATAACGACAGTGATGCTTGAACTGGTGGCTAAACCAAGTTGCCTTGGAACTCAGGGTCACCATCACCTTTCTTTGAAAATGCTGGCAGAAAATTCATCCATCAAAGCTCATGTTTGACATACATAGTCTTTCATTTCAAAATATATGTGTCATAATCTAGTTGCTATTCTCACAGTCCCCAAAGAGACACTTTATTCAGCAGAGAAAATAAAATAAAGCAGAAATCAGGCTAAGTTACTATAAGCAAGGCTTAACCAAGTGTGTCCAGCCTGTGGCCTGTGGGCTGCATATGTCCCAGGATAGCCATGAAAGTGGCCCAACACATTTGAAGATGACAGTGGCATGTGTCAGATGGTTGGACATTCCAGGAAGGAGTTAATGCAAAAGTTAGAATAAAAGATGTTATAGACATATTACCCACTGACTGCCAAAAACTGATCAAGAATACCCTGTCTTAGGGCTGGAGAGATGATTTAGTGGTTAAGAGCACTGACCGCTCTTCCAGCAGACCTAGGTTCGAGTTCCACCACCTACATGGCAACTAACAACTCTCTTTAACTCCAGTCGCAGCTGATCAGACACCCTCTTCTGGCCTCCGTGGGCATTGCACACATGGGTGCACTTACATACATGTAGGCAAAATACTCATACACATAAACTTTTTTTAAAAATAAAATAACTTATCTTTCACAGTTGGTTATAACCAATGTTATAATATTTTATAGCCCAAAGTTTATGGCTTATAATACTTATATTTTTTAGTTAAACAATAGCACAGATGCAATCATACATGATAGCTACAGATATTTTACTGGGTATTATCACAGGGAATTTTTAGGACCAATCAGTCTGCATTAAGCCATTCATTACATTTCTAATTCACTGGGGTTCCTCCCCTTTATCTAATGACTTGTCTGATGAACTTAGACAGATCAACAAAAGCGTAGATTCAAGGCTAGCATCAGCAAAAGTATAATGAACTGGACAAACCCAATATGTCTATGAGAAGAAAAGGCTTTCCAGCTGGTCTGGAGCCTCTTTTCTTCCTTTATGAAGAAGATTCCACTGGATCACCTCCTGAAAGTGTGACTGCCACATCTCCTGGCTCATGCTGTTGCAGAGTCCCTCAGCACATCAAACCTGGCCTGTTTTGATAGTTGTTGGCAAACAAGTCCTAGAATTTACAGTTTTATAGAATATGGCCTAAGGAAAATAAGATGTAAGTGATGTGGCCATCAGAGTCTAAAATGGAGCTGTTCTGTGGCTGAGCCTTCTATGTAAGCAGTACGGCCACACAGATCTCTCAGCATCCTTGGCTGTTACTCTGGGACCAGGGCATATCCGAGGGCAGCCAAGGAGAGCCTGGCCTTGGCATAGGGAGTCCCAACCTTTCACTGTGTCACCCAGGCCTTGAAATTGCTTTGCACTTGCACTGTTGAAAAGTACCTGATCCTGGGCAAGCACTTTGATTCTAATGTGTGATACAAAAATCCCTCCCTGACTTATCATACCCTTATCCAGACAAACAGGTCTGAAATTGCATCTACAATTCTGTGCATTTTTAGGAAAGGTGTGCTCTAGGCAGTGAGATCAGTGAGAGGGAATGGGTGCTCTGCTTGGTGGAAGGAGAGAACCAACTCCTGAAAACTGTTCTATGACCTTCTCACATGTACAACGGTATGCACGGGCATATGCACACATATATACCATTAAGTAATTAATCAAAAATCTGGCAGGGAGATATGGAGGAAAAAGGTATTTTCCTGGTAGGAAGGACATGGTCACACGTGGGTGTGGGCGCGTGCACACACACACACACACACACACACACACACACACACACCACATAGCTAATAGCCCAAATCTAAGGAATATAAAGGGGGAGACAGAGATGAAGGTCTGAGATGAATAAATCAATGCTGTGAAGCACTCCTTAGCAGATATGGATCACAGGTGATGCTTGGAAGCACATTTCCCAGTTCATGGGGAAAGAGAGGCAATTCAAGAAGGCAGAAGTGCAAGACTAACACAGGACAGAGCAAATGACAAGGTCTGAGGCTACAGAGGACATAAAACAAAGCAGCTGCAAGGTAAGAGCACAGCAGAACACTTTTCACTTTTTTTGGGGGGGGGGTTGAAAAACACCTAAGCATGGTGACTAAAAAGATAGAATGTCCAAGCAGGAGAAAAACATTCATATGTATCTTAGTAAATGTTCTATATTTTAAGGATGAAACAACACAAGCAATCAACCAGGAATCAAGGCAAAGTGGGAAGTCATTTGCAAAGGAAAAAAGGGCTTTAGCCTCCTACTCCCGGATAGTCAATGTTCAAAGACAGTGGGGTACTGCTTAGAGTCCTAACCCAGATGTTCACAGGACCGGGCAAACTGCTCACTTGTATAGCACTCCCACTCCGTCCTGCAAGGATGAGCAAGAACAATGCAAAAGGGAAGAGAACTAGACAGTGATCTCTAGTGTGGAAATACAGAAGAGGCACACTAAATCTCATAGTGGCAAAACCCAATTATATACTACTTCCAGATAATATCCCTAAATGAAAATCATAAAGATGCAAAGGAAAAGTTTCAAAAAAGGGAAACAATAAAAACATCACAAAAAAAAAAGAAAACTTGGACCCTATAAGTGGCCTGGCAGATCTTTTGTCTAGGAACTGACCACAGATTTGGCCCAGAGTCCCTCTGATATTATGAGGTACCACAGATCATTTATTCCCTAGAACATTTATGCAGACACTTAACCCTGAGGATTAAATTCAGTGCTCAATATTAACAGAGACTAACTACATTTTTGTTTTAAAAAGTTGAGAGATACCTCAGTGGGTAAGGCTGCTTGCTGACAATCTGGGTTCAACCTCTGGAACCCACATGGTGGAAGGAGAGAACTGACTTCCTCAAGTTGTCCTCTGACCTCTACACATGCTCCACTCTCAATAAAAAATAAACAAACAAATTAATTCATTAAAATCTGGAAAGCTAGGTGCTGGGAAACCAGCTGAAATAAAATTGGGATGCATTTTGTTAACATTTATTATATAAGTTCATTTCTTTTGTGAACTTTTGGTGATTTTAGTATGCTATAATTATTACTGTCATAAGTGTTAAATTGTTCATTAAGGTGCCTGGAAAAGAATTAAGAGGATTTTTACAAAAATAAGAAATTAGCAATAATTTACATGTAGCATGCAATTTTAGCCTTTAAGTGCTTCATAGATTATTAGTCCTAAAGGTTAAATGCAAAAATAGATCCTTTCTAGTTTTTAATTGTATATAATAAAAACCAAGAGCAGCCTCTTTATGTAGATAGTACATTACGCCCAGACTACAGTCATTAAGATCAATAGCATGCAGAGTGCTGAGATAGAAAATATTTTTAAATGCAGGCCTGAACTAAGAAGCAATATTAGATGAAATATAATTATACTACACTTATTACAGACAGTAAATACTGCCCATATTACAAAATTAGTACCGATTAGATAACCAAAGAACTGTGATTCACTCAGTGACCTTTGAAATGTAGGCAAGACACAGACAAAACTAATAAATGTCTTTTTAAAAAATATTTTATTTATTATTTTTATGTGTATGTGTGTATTGCCTGCATGTAGGTAAGTGCACCCGTGTCATGCAATGCCCGCAGAGGACAGAAGAGGCTGTCAGATC